CCTGCCTAACTGCATCCCCTTGGGGGCAGTGGGCTGCCACTGCCCCCAAGGGGATGCAGTTAGGCAGGTTAGCTTGATGAAGAGGTTTCACTAACACACATGTGCAATCACCGTCTTTTTCGTTTGGATTCAAAGTGTCTTTGATTTGAAATATTGATACACAACAGACTGAATATCATATCCAGTGTACTAACAATGGGTGCATTTAATACAATCATTTTTTTATTCAAAGCATTGTGCTGTCAGTCGCCTCACTGCTGCCTCCACCTCCTGTAACTGATGTTATTTAAGCAATACTTTAGACCAATTCTAACTCTTTAGACCAATACAGGAGATAGAGGAATCGCTGTCAAAGGAGTGATGTTGGATTTTTATTGTAAATAGCAGTAATTTCTAAGAGAAAAGGATTTTAGGAATGATACTGTAGAGAAATGTGGACGGTTAGAGGACTTGATTGGAGATATATATATAAAAAAAACTCTGAATATAGTGAGGAGGAAAAGAAAAACCTTTTTTATTTATTAAAAAATACAAATAAAATATGAAATTCTGACTTCCTCCAAAAGATGGCAGCAAACATCTGATAGCAGCTTCTGCTTAACATGAAAAGGAAAGAACAACCACTGGAGCAAATTCTGAATATTGCTGCAATGATCTTTTAGGCCAGATTTTAAATATGCAAAGCAGAAGTGTGCGTTCATCAGGCAGACAGATGGAACTTGCTTGAGGAAACATTATTTTCATTTATTATATCAGTAATGTGTGATAAACGAAGAGTTTCCACTGTGATGCTGAAAAGGTGAAGATTGAAGCAGCACACCAGGTAAGTCTGAGATGCTGTTGTGGAGAAGTTTAAAGCCGGATTGGGATAAAAATGATTTCCCAGGCTTTAAACTTCCCAAGGAGCTCTTTGCAAGTGATGATATTGAAACGGACAGATTATCAGACCACTGGAAATCAGACAAAAAGAAGACTGATCAGAGTGGCAACCCAGAGGCCCATGATGAACGATGGGAGACTCTGTCCATGGTACAACAATCAGTGATATACTGCACACATCTGGTTTTTATGGATGGAAGCCATTCCTGAAAGATACCCATATAAAGTCTGGTTTAAAGGGGTCAAAGAAAGCCAGACCGAGTTTCTATTGTCATAGATGAATAACGACA